GACTCGATGGCACTTCACAACAACAACAACAATCAAACTCTGGATGCTTACTGAGCCCTGTTGAGAACAGCACAGAAACAGAAAATTATTCTCTTCTATTCAAGATTTGGAGAAAAGTAGAATATTTCCTTAAGACTTTTGATTGTGCCATCTATTATCTTGTATAGGACTTATTTGAATCTCCAATATGTTTTATCCCAATTAAAAAGAACTGTTTCTTTATGCTATAGAACAGTAAGTTAGCAAGATAGGGCTGTATGTTGCTTTAGTTTTTTGCCATTATGTTTTGCAAACCCAGATTCTGCACATCATTTTGTGAACAGAGGAGAAAATTTTACTCGTCAAATATCTATCATCCCTTAGGTTTGGAGACTATGATAATGGAAATTGCACTTTTAGCTATAATGCTAGCATATGATGGTTACAAATACCAGATTGTTTAAGGAAAATCTGTTTTGTATGAAAAACCTTCTGTGAATCGAATCCTAGTGGGATCTTCTTCCAAGATAAGTTGAACTAAGTCTCTAGATCTGCAAATACTTAAAGATTTACTGGAAGAGAATTACTAGAAGATGCATTATTTCCCCATGATATTTATAGCACTTAATAGGCTTGGCTGCTAACTGAAAAGTTCTAGGTTCAAGATTACCCAGAAGCACCTTGAGTGAAAGGCCAGGCATCCAACGTCTGAAAACTAGCTCATTGACAACCAGATGGAACACAGGTCTATTCCGACTCGTGGGGTCACCATGAGTTGGGGCTGACTTCTTGACAACTGGTTAGGTGTTTGGTAGTTAGGGTGTTCACGCAAGTCATCAGCTTGTTCCAAGCAATGCGCATTTGCCGTTGCACATATAAATGTACAACAATCTTGCTTTCACTTGTTTACTGTTTCATGTTAAAGGTAGCATTAGATATTTGTATGTACTAGATCTCTTTTATCTGTATTCTAGAATATAAAGCAAGTTTTTATTTTTTAAAAAATTTATTTCACAAAAAATCCAATTTATGTTCATTGACAATATGGTTTATATATTTACTGTAGAAAATGCTGGACTACCTTAAAGAGAAGAAGGATGTGGGCTTTTTTCAGAGCCTTGCTGGCCTGATGCAGACGTGTAGGTAAGCAAATGCTCTTCTGAAATGGGTACTGTTCAATTGGTGACTCTATTTTTTTATTGAAGTAATTGCTTTGCATTATTGGCTATAATTACTCACACAACAATTTTAGATAACCAAACATACTCTAGGATTCTTGGTGTGGTGCTGTAGGATCAACACTGGACTACAAACCACAAGGTCAGCAGTTCAAATCCACCAGCTACTCCTCGGCAACCCTATACAGAGTCGCTATGAGTCTGAACCAACTCGATGGCACTTAATTATAACAAACACACTCTAAAGTTCTTGTTGTTGTTAAGTGCCTTTTGAGTCAGTTTTGACTAACAGCTTCCCTATATAGAGTTGCTAAAGAGCAACTGGTGAGTGTTTGTAATATTTTAGCTTCTACCTTAATTACTCAGTGGTAATGTCTTAAAATATTTTTCCCTGTGCTTAAATAGTTACCTTGGGATCTTCTTGAATGACGCTGTATTCTGTGTTCTTGAAAATGTATAATGTGTAATTTTTAATAAAGAAGATATTCTTTCGTTTCATTCATTTGGGGACTGTAGTCCATTTCTCATTTTTCTAAGCAAATGATCATTAAAAGAATAAATTTACCCAGTGGAAAATAATGATTGTGCTGTAATTATAGTTTGCAGTGTTTCTGAACTTCTAATGCATGCCCAGAACGGGAACTCCTGAGTTCCTTCTGTCTGACTTTCACAGGACCCATTTGGGTGTAGGTGTTGTTGTTGTTGTTAAGTGCCGTCGAGTCGGTTCCGACCCATAGCGACCCTGTACAGGGTTTCCGAGGGTGTAAATCCTTACGGGAGTAGAAAGCCTCATCTTTCTCCCGCGGAGCGGCTGGTAGTTTCGAACCGCTGACCTTAAGGTTCGCAGCCCGATTCGTAACCACTACGCTACCAGAGCTCCTTTGGGTGTAGGTGTAGGGAAGAGTTATTTAGTTAGTTTAGTTAGCTACCAGGAAAAGGTGACTAGCAGACATTGGATTTCAACACATTCATATTTGGTTCAAACTTTCAGATATGTGCTTTGTAGACATGAATTCAGTTTCCTGAACAAAGACATTTTAAAAAAATTTATACACTAATACTTTTTCTCCCTGTTATCGTAGTGTGCTGGACCTAAATGCATTTGAGCGACAAAACAAAGCTGAAGGACTTGGGATGGTGACAGAGGAAGGATCAGGTACTAATTACTTAATTCAAAAGGGTCATCTGTTCCCCTTTCTCCCTGAAATGAGTCAATTATCAATCAAACAAAGAGATGCAAGCATTTTGAAATTGGCAAAATGCTTACATGACTCATTTAGAGTACAGATTTAGACCATCACACAATTTGCAGTTGAAAGCCAATCTTGCCTGTCAGTCATTCATTCCTTTTTTTTTTTTTTTAAACATGTTATTGTGAAGTGAGTGAAGGTTTACAGACAAGGTCATCAGCTTTACATTCAACAAATCACACACTCTATGTCACCTCAATGATTACAATCCCCTCCATGCAACATCAGTTATAGTACTTCCTCTCTGGTTCCCCATTTGCATCTTACGTTTTACAAATAAAGCAAAAATATTTGATGGGTACATACAGGTCTTTTTTGTCCATGCTCTAGTGCCAATGGCCTTATTGAAGCGTTATCTGTAACCCAGAAAGTACATGGATGGGGTAAATGAGAAAGCTGTTGACTTCCTTTGGCCATGCTAGCAAACTTTCAAGCATTGAGGTTCTTCTCTCTTCTTTCACCAGTCATACTATCTCGTCCTTTTTCATACAGCTATTCTTCTCTCTTCCCTACCCATGCATCTTTGTAAGCCATAATTATGTAATGAAGGAGCAATTTCTATGTTCAAATGCCTCCAATTATATCATTTGCATGTGTACAAAAATAACGATTCATACAATCTTAGAATTTTTCTCTGTATAAATGGATGCAACTATAAATAATAACATTTTTGTAAGAAGTACATTTAAAGCAGAGATTAACATTGCTATACCTTCATCTTGGGGTATTTATTAAGAAAAATTTCAACATTTTTTTTTAATTTAGTGTTATTTTGTGTTTGATTTTAAACTAATTGGCTTTAGTAAGGCCACTGTGTTTGTTATAGTTCACTTGGTCTGATTTGAACTTGTTATCTTGTCAATGTACTAATTTTAGACATTGAGTCTTCTCTAGGACTAATCTTTTAGGTAAAAGAACTTTTCTGCCATCTGGTTGCCTTTCAGAAATATTTTGAAAATTACTAATTTCTCTAATTGTCTCTGTGTTTTTATTCTTCTTTCCAAGAGGAAAAGAACAAACTGCACATTTCTTAATGTATTTTGGAGTTTATTATTTCTGTATATTCTGATGTTGCCACTACTGTGTGGCTCCTGTGACATTTTATATTCTGCGAGGCATTTGATTATTGATTCAGTCATCAAATATCAGCCTTTTTTTTTTTTTTTTGCTTAATGAATTAGCTACTTTTAAGAAATATCCCAAGCACACTAACCTACTTAGGTTTTCCGCAAGCGATGTTGTTTCTCCCTGCTACTACACATTAGCATCCATGGAGAGAGACCTCACTTGACTTGAGAGTCTCATCAGACAATTCAAAGTAACTACAAACCATAGACGTCCCAGGCATTTTTCATTAGAAAGCACCTAAACATGAAGACATTTTCTCTGGCCAAAGCCTGATTTCCCTGCCTTAGAATTATAAATTATTTTTATTTTGTTTTTATTAAAGATTATATCCATTTTTCCTTGCAGTTTTCACCCTGTATTCTAGAGGCTCTGAATAAAAGTCTACTTATCATCTTTAATCTCTGTTAATATCAGCTCCCACAAGGTGGGGTGGGGTGGGGGTAGCTGTCATCCAGGTCTATTTTAAGCTTTCTCCTACTCTCACTTACTAAGTAGAGATTGGGATCAAATTTGTGAGTCACAAATCAGAAATACATTCATGAGAGGGAGCATTCTAATGTGAGAATTACTCACATCTCTGGATATGAAATTGGTTTGATGTACTTACTGTCTTTCAGCCCAAAAAAAGAACAGCCCAAGCTGGTTACATAGTTTTGTATTTTACTTCCTTACAAATGGCAAACAAGGAAAACTAAACAAAAAAAGTCTCAATTTCTTTTTCTTTCCCCATTTCCTTTTCTTTCAACTACTGTTAATGTCCTGTCCTCACGTCCTCAGTCACCATCCATCAGCGTGGTAATTATTCACAATGAACTGCCTTTTGTTGATTTGCTCCTTTATATGTTGTTAGCTTTGTGTCAGCTCTGCACAGACGTCATAGGGAAAGATGCTGTGCCTTTATTTTCCTTTTATAGGGTGTGTTAACAAGTAGACTATATACTTTCCGTCACTGTGCATCCTACACTTAAAACAATTGTTGATGCTTAGCTCTTTTTTCCCCATCTTTTTTGACTGTGAGGATGTACAGTTATTAACATATTAGATATGAAGGGGGCAACAAACATTTAAAATTGGGGATTTTTTTTTCTATGTCTTTCATCTAAAACATTCCTAGTAGGCTCAGTGTTTGCAAGTGTGTGTAAATGAATGAAGAAATAGAATGTGTGCTATAGTCTTCCTGTGGTGTTTCTGTTTGAACATACTGTGGCTTTATGGCTGCACTGACTGGTACATTGGAACTCAGTGACAAATCCAGAATAGACTTTGGTGGCCGAGTTTTTTCCTGGGCTGTGTGCTCTTCCTGTCCCTGGCACATAATTAGGAGAGCTACAGTTGCTCTCTATTTTTAAAAGAATATCACCGATTTAAAATCTTAGCATAAAAAACTAAGTAGATGCTTGTGAACGAATTCACAGAGCACTAGAAGTAGGAGCAAATATTTATGCTTGAAAATAATATAATAATATAGATTCATTAGTCTTTCAAAGTGGTTTCTAAAAGACACTCTGTGCAGTGGTAATGAAGAGGAGATTAGCTTCCTGATGGTTCCTAGTATGTCAGCAAGACTTTAGCGACTAAACTGTGCTTTTAAAATGCATTCTGTTGCTTTAATCAAGATGCCATTCGTAAGAGAAAAAGCAAGGGGAAAATGATTAGCTCTATTTAATATAATGCTTCACAGATTATTTTAAGAATCTCTACACTGAGTCCTGAATGCAGCTGTAGGATTAACACTGGACTACAAGGTCTGTTTGAACCACAAGGTCAGCAGTTCAAACCCACGAGGCAATCCTCGCAAACCCTGTACAGGGTCACTATGAGTTGGAACTGACTTAGCCTCACTAACAGCAACAAAAAATGCTGACTCTATCATTAGTTATATTTTTAAAATTTCTGTTACATGACCATCTTTTTGTTTGAGAGCCTACAAAAGTTAAGAAAAGCTGGTCCAACCACAGAAGCAAAAATCAATCATTCCCCTTGGCATACATAGAAAAGGAAAAAGCTCAAAGCATAAAACTCATAACATAGGCTGAGCTCTGAGCAAATGATCTAAATCTTGTCCCTAACCAACTTTTTATTAGTGCTAATCATGTCCTGATAATGATAACATGATCACAAATGTATAAACTTAAATCTTTAAATATGACATATAATATATATGGTGCTCTGGTAATGTAGTGGTTATGAATCGGGCTGCGAACCACAAGGTCAGCAGTTTGAAACTACCAACTGCTCTGCAGGAGAAAGATGAGGCTTTCTGCTCCCGTAAAGATTTACAGTCTTGGAAACCCTGTTCAGGGTCGCTATGGGTCGGAACTGACTCGACAGCACTTAACAACAACTATATATATATATATGAGACAGTAAACTTATACGTTGTTTACATATGACACAGATAATTATAACAGTATGTAAACTTATACGTGTGATTTTTTGACACCCACAGCCTTCCCATGAGGTAGATGTTGTCTCCGATAGAAGAGGAGACTGAGGGACCACAGATCTACATGGCTTGTCCAAGATCACCCAGCTAATGGTAGTCTCAGGACTGCAATACAGGCATCTGCCTCCCACTGCTTAATTGGTCAATTCCAAGAGGTGGAGTCGCTCACCCTTCATCTTTCAGTATGCGTTCAGGTCTTACTATGTGTCCAGTACTGGCTTACACAGTATTGTTTTCCCCTTTACTTGGTGCTCCCTTCAAGGACACTTATATTTTCAAATGAATTTCCAATTTTTGCATGTATTGTTGAAGTTTTAAAATCACTTTTAAACTTTTATGGTCCCCAATTCTATTTTTAATCTAGTAATGAGATACCATTAAGGAGCTCTGGTAGTACAGTGGTTACAAATCAGGCTGCTAATCTCACAGTCAGCGGTTTGAAACTACCAGCTGTTCCGCAGGAGGAAGATGAGGCTTTCTGTTCCCGTAAAGATTTATAGCCTTGGAAACCTTATGCAGGGTCGCTATGAGTCGGAACCAACTACACAGCACATAACAACAACAACACGAGATACCATTAAGATATATGTGCTTGTCTAAGATTTGTGTGTAAAGACTCTAATTATATATTTTTATTCCACTGCTTTTATTGGCATATAAGTTTGCCCTTTGTGCCTGTACTAAATTTACCTCATTTCTACAAAAGTCTGGGCCTCCCATTTGTTAAAACAACAACAACAACTTGCAGCAGCAACAACAAAAAATGGTCTTCAGCAAGTGTGCGCTGCAGATTTGTGATGCGCTCAATGTTGGCCTCTCTGGATATTTTTTATTCATATGTGCTTTCTTTCAACAATATGAATATTTGAAATGTAATCCCATTCTTGAATTTTTTATTTGTTTTTATCAGAATCATTTAACTTCATCGCTAAATCATTATGAACTTGAAAGTGCATTTTTCCTTTTTGTGAAAATTCTTTTGGGGATATTATAAATGATACTGCTTTTTGTCTTTTGATCATTTTGTGATGACCCAGGACATTATAAACAGTATGAAACTTTGAAATAGATCTGATTCCTCCAAAATTGCTTAATTAAAAAAAAAAATCTTACATGAAACATTAACTACCAATTAATCTACAAAATTTCCATCTGAATTTGATAATGTACATTGAAGTTATGAGTGATTTATCATCAAGTTTACGTGGCGTTGAAGCAGAATGGATTAATTTTTGTTTTTCTTATTAGGTTCCATCCAGGTAATTCTAACTCCTAGTGATGCTATGCACAATGGAATGGACACTGCCCAGTCCTCCACCATCCTCACAATTG